ATACAACACCTCAGCACCAGCCGACCGATAACTCGCCCCCCAGGCCTGACCAAGCTCTGACCGATACCTCCTCCAACCCTGCAGTCTCCCAGCCCTTCCGGCTAACTCCCAGTTACATCCTGGGCATGACGTGCTGTGGTATGGAATACCTCTTTGGTCAGTTTGGGTCAGGTGTCCTGTCTCTGCTTCCTCCTGGCTTCCCCTCCTCCCTGGCAGAGCATGAGGCTCACAAAGTCCTTGGCCAAACCAAAACATCCTTGTTATCAGCTCTGTTCCCGAGCTGAAAGTCAAAACACTGCAGGGCACCAGCTACCAAGAAGGAGAAAAAAATGACTGCTACTGCTGAACCCAGGACAACCTCCATGAACAGTTGTCATTAGAAATGTTTATAAAATAGAATTTTGACAAAAAAAGCACCTTATTTTCTTCTTTTAAAGTATATACCCATTTTAGAGAGCAAATAATTCAATATGTAGCCCTTCATGCCATTTTAAAATTTATTTGTTCATACCTTTTAAATATTAAATGAAGTGTTGACAGTAGATATAACAACTTATTTTGGCTTGAAAAACTTCTGAATATTTCAGTCAAAAACTAATACAAATACAAATATTAGAATACGTTTCCCTAAAAGCACTATAGGAACCACACTGGCAGACCGAAAAGAGATATTAAAATAATAAAAAATTATTATTATCAGAAATATTGAATTTAAATCTGTGAGTCATCCACAGTCCTGAAGAGTCCTGAAATGAAACTGTGATGGAAATGATACAGATGTTTGGTCTACAAAGATTCTTTATGCATTTACATAAAAAGGTTGCAGCACACAAGGCAATGCTTCTAGAGATTTACACACTTATAAGGAGTTTAAGTTTGATACTTTCCAACAGCCTAGCCTTTAGTGCATGGAAAGAAGATAGTGTCATTTTGTCAAAAGTAAGATTGGCAGTATCAGGGCTGGAGTGTATAAAATGAAGCATAAGCTGATTAGAAACAGAGATGGAAGTAGCTTGTCTGAATGCAAGCCAAAAAATGGGGGATGTCATCACAGCTGGTATTTCAGCCAAGTGAGAAGAAAGTGAGGTATATATAAAAAAGAGCTGTAGGTGGTGTTTATGAGGTTTGGTGGTCTGATTAATGTGATGTAGCATCTACAAATTTTATTTTAGGCTTAAGGGAACTGCTGTAAACCTTGTTGAAAGAGCTAGCAATGTTGTGCAGCCTCCAGCATTGTTTATTTTCATGCCAAAGAGCAAAATCTCATGAGCAGCTTTATATGTAGTGTTCATCATCATGCTAGCAGGTATAAGCAAGTAAATAGGAAAAGTGCAGATGAGATGGCAAGATATCCTGGTACAAAGCCTGGAGAAGACCTGGTGACTAAGGACGTGCACAGAAGAAGGAACATAGAGCATGCTAGCTTGAAAAAAAAAACCCAACAAACCACTAGAAAAATCCTATTTGCAGTTTGGAAATACCTTTTGTTTATTTTGAATAATGTTTAGCACAACAACACAGCTAGATGCAAAAACGTTTTTATTGCATCCAGAGTAATTGTCTAAAGAAAAACAAATTACTCCTTCTCTCTCTATCCCATGATTATATTCTAAAATGGCTGGAAACATACTTGGAGTCAATATGAAAAGTAAAAAGAAAAAAAGCAGATGCAATTTAACCGTAAATCATTTTCAGATTCCCTCATTCCTTCTTTTACTATTTACACATGTGGCTTCATACCCAAAATCTTTCCAGTTTCTGATCAACACCAGGCAATGCAAGTGGTGAAGATACTGGAATGGATTTGTTCTTTTAAGGACTGTTCAGAAGTTTTATAGGCAGCAATATCAACCCCTCTTACAGTCTGTACTACTCAAAATGGTTCAGAATCCCTAGAATAACATAGGTCACTGAAGAAACAGACATGCCACTCTCTCTCCTTGCCTCCATTTTTCTTTATCTCATTCCTCTCCTCCCCTCCCCCCTGTAATTTAATTTCAGGATGAATTAGAACCAGCTGTAGCAAAATCTTGCAAATGATAGTGTCTATGAAAATGTGTTCATTGCCAGATTCCAAGAAGTATTCTTCCCTTTCTCCAATTTCACCTTTGCAATAGTTTGCTTTTAGCATATGTGACTACCCATCCTTTCTTTAAGAGGACAGTCATATAAATAAAAACATGTCAGTTTAAAGAAAGACTCTTTTCAGAAAATAAAAAGACTGATTATTTTATGAACAATAATGTCCTCAAGTTATGCACAAACTAATTGCAATGAAAGCTCATATTTAAGGACTTGCTGATTTCCACAAGAATAAAGACGAAATTTTCCACAATGCGTGATAGCTAGCTTAATTTACAGAGAAGGAATGGGGGGATTTGCTCTCATTTTCCTTTCATGTAACAGACAAGTCATCTAAGAGATGAAAATGAAGGTCTCATTGAGCCTGGAATTATTGTCATGCTGATTTTCAGAGTCTTTGTGGATGAATCTTAAGAGGTGAAGTCTGAGTTAAAAATAATACAGTATTATATGCCTCTTTCAGCACAGAATTCTACAACAAGCCATGGGGTTAATGAGTTGTTTCCAAGCTCCAATTTGTGTATATGTATCCTTGGATTCTGGAGACAAAGATAGACTTCCATTAAAGAAAAAGCATACGATTTTGTTTTACTACTCTGAAAGAGACAAACAGTACTTCAGTGGTACAGCTACACTATTCAGTAACAGAATGGATTTCAGCAGAGATGCACATCCGGGATTCCCAAATTGCCTAAGGCTTCCACTGGTGCTGCACAAGGTATTTCGAAATGGTGCCTGGCCCCAGAAACATGGGCTGAGGATCACCATGGCTGTGGCAGGATCCTACCACAAGTTCTGATACAGGTCATGGTGGCAGTGCCCTTGCACTGACTGATGTTTTGAGTACTCGTGCACATTATCTCAGATTAGTAAAGATGATCAGTGAAAGGGCATAACATCTCAATCAGAGACTCAACATATTTTAAAAAAAGAAAATACTGTCCTCTGAAATCAAATGTCTAAGAAATGAATACAGTCAAATACTTTCCTCATGACATAAAACCATATTTGGATGGGCCTGCTCAAAGTATGATGCAGTCATAAGCTTGAGATTAGCTTGATTTACTGCTAGTTTTGCAAGTTTACTAAAAGGAAAAAATAAAACTCATTTAATCCTTTTATTAAGAATTAATTCTTTTATGAAGGAAAAGACCAATGTAGCACAATCCACCCTCTCTGAAAAAGGGGTTAAAATATTAAATGCTGCTCTGGGTCTTCATAAATCAGCAGCAAAACTGTCAATGATTTCAGCACAGCAAAGCAGTTTTAAATTTTCAGTTTTGATTACTGAACCCAAGAAAACTTGGTACAAAGTAATTAAGTGATTTCTACAGCTGCATGCCTCACTGCTACATTGGAAAGTCTGGAGCCAGTATTGCCAAACACAAGGTATGTAAAGGAATTGCCTGACAAAACTATGCAAGGTTTTATTTTGAAGGAAAACTATTCAGGTACACATTTCCAAAACAGAACCTGAGCTAAAAAATAACATTTTGAAAACTATTCTTTATCTTGGAAAGTTAAGCTCAGTGATTACAAAATAATGGTTGTAACACAGGTAAAACTCTGCCCTCTAACCAGGGTGATCCAGGAACTGGCAACAGAGAAGGATGCTGGTTTGTCTCACTGCTTTTAGAATACACAAGGTCAGGTCAGAATGGGAGGGGAACTGTCTCAACACATATAATTTCACAAACCCAAACAGAACTGATGGGTCTAACTGTAGTCTAATTTATTCCAATTAGCCTTTAACAGTTTGGCTTTGGCTGGTTTGGTTAGTTTTTCATGTGTGAGTTACAACACTCAATTTGACCGGCACAAATCAACGTTCACATTCCCTCTGCAACTGTGGTGTAGCCTTAGTGCCTCAGAGATGGAATGAGATTGTTAATCAACCAGCAGACCTATTTTATTGATTCCTCTACCTGTTGTCAGTAGGTGAAGCAGATGTCTAGATTGATAAGAAGCCAAAGGATACACCCATAAGAAGTTTCAGAGAAAGAAGTGTGAGAAATCTTGCTGCATGGGAGACTACAGCTCAGACAGAAGCAGTCTCTTTCATTATGAACTGTGGTCTACTGAAGAAAACATAAGGTAAATACGAGGGAATGTATTCAGGTTTTTAACTTAAACTTTTAAACTTTTTTTAGACAAAGCATCTATTGAAAGGCTTCTTAATATGACCCTATCAGGCATGAGAAAGTTTGGCCCAGTGCACATTTGATTTCATTTTCCATCTTTACTGGTAAAACTGACATTTCTCCATGTAATTTGAGAGCTTTTACTATTCTTGGCACCCAATAAAACTTTCCGCATGAAAATCTTTATTTCCATTTTCACCACTGAATACACACTTTCACTTTCATGAGCACAGAAGTTAAAGTTTATTTTATTGTATTGAAAACGATACTCACCATATATAAACCCAAGAGAGAGCCTTTAGAAAGGCCAAAATGCTGGTACAGGCTATCTAAAATTGCTTTTCTAAGACTTGCAACAAAATTGCAATGCTGGGAAGGGCACACGTGAACAGAAACATATACTTACTAATTTGTCTTCAGGCCTCTAACACCTTAATTTTCCAGCCTGACAGACTGCCCAATATGAACCAGCTGGTTACCAAAGTAGTATTGGGAACATGAATGGTCTTGATTCTGACAGAGAAGTTGTAAAGAGCGACTCTGAATTTTCACTCTATTTGGAAAGGCTGTGACTGCAATTTCTTCCAAACAATTTTAGCATTATGCTATGCCATAATCTCTCCCTTTTTAAAAGACACTGAGAAAATGTCCTGTGGCACGAAGGCAATTTACATAGCTATGATATTCTCACGGTCATGTTACCAAATCATCTTATTAATATGGCCATGACTGTTGTTTGTTATTATTTGTATCATATCAAAGCTATACTTCACTTACCACATTACTGCATGTTCTGTATCGGATGTTTCTCCCTTCACAGGTCCTGTGTCCAAAAATTAAAAACAAACCATTAATAGCTTAATATGAAATGCAAACACATAATATTTATTGCGTCAGCATCTTTCCTGCAAAGATTTCTACCCCCCTCCCCCCAAAGTAAAAAGCTCTCTGTCTCTATATAGGTAGAGAAATTTATTCTATAATTCCTCAGTTTCCTACCTTTGCTTTAAAAATTACTTTAGAGAAGGTGGCATCAGCTTATCAATGATGTTTGACAATGGAATTTAGCTGGAAATCAACATCTGAATCACACTACCAATGGCCCATGCCTCCCAGCCATCCGCAATGATTTCACAAGGGCACAGCTCCGCATCTACCCAGGCACACACGTTAGGAATGACAGAGTCTGAGCAGCCAGGCTTTGCTTGCTGGGAAGCAACCTGCGTGCTGGGAGGAAGGAAATCTGCCTGAAACTATGCTAAATGAAAGGATAGCAGGACTGACTTTCCCAATTTGATATGAGGGAAGGAGGAAAGCATAAAACTTCTCTCCAATTCACCAGCCCCATGAACTCCCAGGTCCCTATTGCCCAACAACATCAGAAGAGAAGCTGAGCCCAGCTGAGGTCAAGGACAGTACCGCCCTGACTTGTGTTCTCTATGGCTCTCCTCCTTTTCACCCCCAGCAGACCCATACCAGCCCTGATGCTGGCAGGACTCCCAGAAGAAAGGTCAACACCCAGCTATCTTTTCAGTGCTCAGCAGCGTGTATTCTGAGTATTTGACCTTAGGCGAATTTTCATATGTTTTATGAGTTTAGGCAGCATACACTGAGGAGGTACTCAGTATAATTCAGAATGCAGGGTTTTGATTTTAAAGATTATTCTTCAAAAGAACAGAACTCCTTAAATTCTTAAGTTCTTAATTTCACAACTTCCCCCTCCCCCTTTCTTTTTTTTTCTTTTTTTTTTTCCACTGGGTTTTAACAAGCACATATTCCTTGAGGAATAAATGCCTATCAAGACTGAATTTTTGAATCCGAACCATTTTGAACTATCCAAGAGAAAGGACAGCATCAGCATGCATTTGTGTTGTTTATTCCTTCTTTTCCTTTTTTCAAAAGCTTTTTTTTCCCATACTGTGTTAACCCCAAAATATACTGAACAGTCCTTTAAATTTTTGAAGTCAACCTTCTTCGCACCTTTATCCACAAGACTTAATTGAGAAATTCTTCCAGTAGTAGTTTACACCTTTCGAGTTCAAAAATCAGGGCAAAACACAATCTTGCAAATATATCACAGTGATGTAAATGATCACAAGAAAAGATAAATGAGAAAATAAACTCTATCACTTTTCCAGAAGAATTACAAGCAGAAAGATAACATACTCTGTTATGTAATATCTGTCATATAAAGGGTGCTACTAAAAGCATGATAGAAATACCACTAATTCAATGCTTTTGTAATGTTATATAATCAATTCAAGTAAATTTTAATCATTGCAAGCATGCACAGGAGTGAAAAGTGTGAACAGAATATTTAGGAAACAAAACAGTTTTAGCAATACTATAATAAAAATTACATTCAGAATAGGCTCTGAAGTAAAAAAAAACCTAAAAAATCCCCAAGAACCCCCTCCACCACCACTATCCCATTTCTAAGCAATACAGACAAGCTGGTACTGTGGCGCAGGCCAAACCTGTTTGCACTCTACTACACTCAATAGAGTTACTCTTGATTTACACCGATATGTAGCAGAGAAAAATGTATATTATGCAGCATTCAGGCAGTCCTAGTTCAGGCCTCGTACACCACACTGAACAGCTTGTTGAATCTTGATACATGTCCCATCTGTCTCTCAGAAACGCCATACAACCCATCAGACATCGCTTCACACAGACCTGCTGTTAGCACAGTTTCAATTACTCTAATTTGTTAACCTCAAAACCATTGAACTGCCAGTGAAATTTAAACTTCCTTTATATCAGCTGCCTCAGATTTTCTTCTTTTCTCAGTTTCTTCATACTGCCTGTTTTGAAATGAAAAATAACACTTGCTTTTGACTTATTCTTTGCACTAGGGAAAAGAATAAGTACTTTAATTAGAATAATGCCACAGAGCTATCCAATTTTTAATTCCAATTTTCCCTGTTTGGCTATTAGGCAGGGTTGTTCAGAAAAAAATATGCAGTTCTGGATGCAGCTGGCACCGTGATGACTCATGAACACTAGGAACCATTCTTGCAAAACTCTATGTGTCGCCCCTCCAAGATAAAACTTGGGGTTTTGTTGTTTAAGATCATTAGTTTCCCAGTTATCAACCATCAACCAAAAGCAGGCAAACTTCTTTCAGCCTGAACTGACATATTTTCATAATAGATTTGCAAAGGAGTGTTTGTGTTTCAGAACTATGCTGCATCAGGACAGTATTCCAGATTCTCTTAAGCTCAAGTATCAATTTTGGATTCAAAATCATGGATTTGTAGGAGAAAAAAAAAAAGAAAAAAAGCTTTTCAGGGACATATATTTTGATTTCTAAAAATAAATTCTGTTTCTGACCCTGTCTATGCTCAAAATATGTAAACTGAAATCACCTACTGAACTTAATCCTGCTAGAGCGAAATACACAGCAACTTGCATGACACCAGGCTGGGCTAGGTTTTCTCCTAAGGCAAGTCCCGTATCTCTGTGTGGATATTTTGCAAAATGCCACAGCACAGAGCATTTCACGGACAAGGAAGAACCACAGCAGATTAAGTGAGACCATGTTATGAGATACAGTCACTACACATCCCTTCTGCAGGGTATAAATGAGAATTCATATCAACAAAGAGAACACAGCCAGTTAGAAAAGTCAAAAGTCACCCAAGTTCATCTTGGAAAACACACGAAGAGTGGGAGCAGTTAAGAGGTACTTCTAGTCCTCTCTGTTATCTATAAACTGCAGCTGATTTTGCAGAGGAAAAAAAGTAGCTGAAATTTTGGCTTGACAGATAATTATTATCATGTGAATATGAAAGAAAGCAAGCTATTGGGAATCATATTTCATTCTTCAAATGTAGTAACTTTTTCCCAGTAAAGTTTCTTAAACAGGTTAACAACTTTTAATATATTAAAATATTCACTTCTCCTTAATGTTAACAACCCAAGCTCCTGGTATTTATTTCTCCAGACTCTGGTTTGTAGAGTGACTTAGTTCAAGTTTCCCCCCTCAAAGGTCCAAATTAGATGTGTATTTGTCCTCAGCTAGAGTTAGAAGCCTGCAATAATCCATGACAGAAAGAATAGCAACCCCATGCCAAAGTTGTCTTTATCTGTAATTACCAAAGATGATGAAAGGAATATGTAGAGGAGGACTTCATCAACTCCTGCCACTCTCAGCAGTCATCAAAGTTTGAAACGCTTTTCTTAAAAAACAAGCCCCCAGATAAGCAAGCATCTATGAGCCAGAGGTGGGTTATTTTCGTGGATGTGAATTTTGATGCGACTGTTCGCTACAGGGGCTTGAAAGTTGATGTAATGTTGAACAATCTTCATCTCCTTTATTTTCACAGCTCTTGACAGTCATTTTCTGGAGTAGATACTGGTTTCTGCACTGTATCTGTGAGAAAAAGTATGCTGTGGGTCTTTCTCCTCCCATGAGATCTTAGGCAAGATGCGTCAGCACTCCCCTTTCCTGGGTGTCAGCAGGCATGAAGCTGTGCTACATACACAGTAACAGCATCTTGCATCTGTCTTCCTCAACCTCTCTCCCAAATACTGTACAGTGTTTTATGATCCCCTTTGATTCTCAATACAATTTCTGGTTTAGTTCCTGTCTGGGGGGGAAAAAAAACCATAAAATTTCTTCTTTCAGCACATCCTTTTTCCTATAATGAAAATGTGAGGGAAGGCCACAGATGCCAGATTGTTATGGAAAAGGAAGATTTATCAGGATTGCGTTCACTTTATGTGTTTAGGTTTTCAAACCACCTGTTTGGTTCTGCCCAACTTCATGTCTACATCACTCAATTGACAATGATTTGAAAAGATGTAAAAAAATGGCATCACGTCAGGTTGGTGACCAGTCAGTAGTGGTGTTGCCCAGGGCTCAATTTTATGGTCAGTGCTCTTTAAAGTTTTTATAAATCCTCTGGATGTAGGAATCAATTGTACGTTGAGTAAATTTGCGAGTGATATTAAATTAGGAGAAGCTGTAGACTCCCTAGTAGGTAGAGAGGCCTTCCAGAGAGATCTAGACTAGAGATGGGCAATCACCAACCATATGAAATTTAACAAGAGCAAGTGGCGGATTCTCTATCTGGGATAGGGTAATCCCAGTTATATGTAAAACTGGGGGATGAGAGGGTGGAAAGCAGCCCCATGGAAAGAGATATGGGGGTTTGGATTGATGGCATGTTCGATATGAGTCAACAGCATGCCCTGGCAGCTGAAAGGGCTAACTGTGTCCTGGGTGCATCCAGCACAGCATTGCTAGCTGGTCGAGGGAGGTGACTGTCCCACTCTGCACTGCCCTGGTGCGTCCCCACCTTGAGTACTGAGTGCAGTTGGGGGTACCTCAATATAAGGACAACAAACTATTAGAGTTTGTCCAGAGTTTGACCAAGATGGTGAAAGGTCTCAAGTGCAAGACTTATGAGAAGTGGCTGAGGTTCAGCTTGGAGAAGGCTGAGGTGTCACTTCATGGCTGTGTACAACACCCTCAGGGGGTGCAGAGGAGAGTGAGATGCTGATCTCCTCTTTCTGGTGACCAGCGGTAGGACATGAAGAAATTGAATGAAGGTGCATCAGGGGAAGTTCAGGTTGGACATTAGGGAAGGGTTCATCACTGAGAGTGGTTGGTCACTGTAACAGGCTCCCCGGGGAAGTGGTTGTGACACCAAATCTGTTAGAATTCAAGGATCATCTGGGCAATATTCTTAGTCATATGGTTTAGCTTTAAGGAGTCCTCCTTTTAATAGAGTTGGATTCGATGATCCTTATGGGTTCTTTCCAGCTCGAGGTATTCTGTGGTTCTACGTCTATGATTTGGCCTGGAAAAAAGAAGGCTTTTGGAGACCTTACTGCAACTTTTTAATAGATAAAGGGAGCTTGTATGAAAGATGGAGAAAGACTTTCTACTGAGGCCTGTACTGACAGAACAACAGGCAATGATTTTAAACTGAAAGAGGATGGATAAGTAACATAAAGACACAAACAAAAATTTTTTTACGATGCAGGTGATGAGGCACTGGAACAGGTTGCCCAGAGAAGTTGTGGGTGGCCCATCCCTGGCAGTATTTGAGGTCAGGCTGGACTAGATGATTTTCAGAGGTCCTTTCCAACCCAAACTGTACAATGATTCTATAGTAAAATAAATATTGACCATCATTTATGTGACTAGGATGAGTATGAAGCTAAGGAAAAACCATCATACTGGACTTTATGAAACTCTCCTGTGTATCTAGAATAAATTCACTGGAACCAAAAGAATGGAGTATGGCTATACACACATGGAATATGACTATACCAGTTGCTGGGGAGGGACTCTTCATTAGGGACTGTAGTGATAGGACAAGGGGTAATATGTTTATATTTAAATAGGGGATGTTTAGGTTAGATATAAGGAAGAAGTTCTTTACTGTGAGAGTGGTGAAGCACTGGAATAGGTTGCCCAAGGAAGCTGTGAATGCTCTACCCCTGGCAGTGCTCAAGGCCAGGCTGGATGGAGTCTTGGGTGACATGGTTTAGTGCCAGGTGTTCCCTGTCATGGGCAGGGGTTGGAACTGGATGATCTTAAGGTCCTTTCCAACACAAACCATTCTATGATTCTATACATAATATCAAAGAGATGGTGTTAGAAAAAAGGAAAAAAAGGAAAAAATGTCTCTGTTTAATACTTAGGCTAAACCACAACCTGACTGTTTAGGAATTCAAAGGACAAGTAAGCAGTGTTTCTTAAGAATGAAGTCTCTTTTTTGCTGATCTAGTTACAGAACAGCTACTTGTTTATGGCTACCTGATTATTGTTGAAGTTGTGTTGAATTGCTTCTAAGATTTTGTTTATACTGTAGGCTATGCTTCAAGACATAACCAAAGTAACCTAAAGGTAGCCTGCCCAGCTACTGATATACCAAGTTGACTATTTGTAGCAGTTGAGCCAAAATACAACAGGGCCTAGAGAAAGCTAATAGATCTATTGTTCTCACAGAGATAAGCCTTTCCTTCTAAAGGTATGATTAGGCTCATGTCACAATTTCATTTTAAATTCTGAAAGCTTGATGAGGGGAACAGTTCAGATTCGCGAATTTTGTTGGGAATGTTATGCAAAAAATTACCAGCTGCAGCTCCAACAGTGCTCCAACACTCAAAGCTCCTACACCAGGTAGCTTCTGCTACCCTTGGAATTTAAGGTTGGCATTATATTTACTCAAAAATAAGGCAGATATTGGAGTTCTGCTGTACAAATTGCTCAACAGAATAGAATTCACTATAATTTTTTGCTTTCAAATTCTTCTTTGCATTATTCAGAGTCACTGAATGTTAATTTTTAAGTAACAGCTTAGGCATTAAATGACTCTTCCTAAACTCTCAGTAAAATATGTCTGGCTCGTCTAATGAAAATAACAAAAATCAAATTAGAGAAAAAGAAAAGAAAATGAGGAAAATTTGACAGAATGCTTTCAGACCACTGTTTATTTTCATGCATTTAGTCTCTCATGTTTGCTTGTCACTGCAGTATTTTTTGTTTCCTTAATATATTTTAAAAGTAGTTTTAGATTTAAATTTGCACATTTAACACATATTGTAGATATACAGAAAGCAATTACAGTTGCAAATGTTTTTCAGTTGCTCACTAGCCAGGAAAGGCAGAAAAAAAGCAAGAATTGAAGAAGTGTCTTTCAGAAAACAACAGCAAGAGGTCCAGGTGGAAAGAAAATACACTACTAAATCTCTAAATAGTGAAATTGTAGGGAGTTTCACTTTTCAGTAGCTGGCAGCCTTGCAAGATGTCCAAGCAACTTCCCTATCTCCATAGGCTCTCACTATATTTTAAAAGGGTGTTGCGTTATCAAACATGTTGGCTGCTTGCCTGAATAAAAAATGAACCATGCTACCATAATTTTTTGACACTAAGTTGGAAATTTCAATTTAGCTCAAGATCTCAGCTGATTATTTCTTATGGTCTGACGCATATGAGTAAGTTGAATTCTCCCATCAGTAATGTAAAAACCATTCACCCACTTACTTGCTGCTCAGGCAGCGTCTCAGTGAATATGAAGCTCCTCCTCCACAAGTGCGCGAACATTCACTCCATGAGCCCCAGGCACCCCACAGTGAGTCTCGGTCTTCCTCAGAACGAGATGTTCTGGAGCTCTGAGGAGAGGAAGAAATTAAAAAAATCAGGAAAACTCACTTAAAGGACAAAAAAAAAATACTGCTGCCAGTTTAACATTTCTTACTGGATATCATCTTGGTCATGGAAAGCACCAAAGAGATCTGTTATTCTCTGACATTCCTACTGGTTGGCAGCCAGTTCTTGTAGTAGGGGTTGCTATATGAATTTGCTTTCATCCTTTGAGTATCATACTCTGTCTCAGTTTGAGACTGGTGATGATTATTACAAAAGAGCACTTTGGACAATAGTAAGGTGTGGTATTTTTCCTGATTAAAAGGAGGGGGTGGTGTACTTTAAACATTAGAAATTGTGTTTCAAAATTTTGTTGCTGTGTTCGGAACTGTGAAAGGGCCTTCCAAGATGCACTTGAGGAAAAACAGAATCACAACATGGTGAATCAACATGATGCAAAGGCATTCAAAATAGCGACTTTCATGCCAGATGTGATCCATCCTTCTAGGATACAATCTCATTAACATTAATGTGTCAGATAAGAGGAACGCAACACCAATTTACTGAGGTTATTTCAGCTCACTGCTTCCTGAAGGGTATTGTTTATAAAACAAAAATGTGTGTTTGCACTTTTAGTCTTCTAAAAAGAAAATGTGTGTCTGTGCTTTTAGTTTACATGGAAAGAAATATCTTCAAATTGCAAATGGGTGCCTGTCTGGATCACTCACCACTGGTTGGAAGCCCAAGAACATAATTTAAAAAGGTTGCAAGGTAAAGTCATGTGAACCAAGTACTCTTACCTCATCACAAATTATAAGGATCAGCAAAGCTAGACAGTCTTAGGGTCCAATTTTCTCTGAAATAAATTGTGCTCCCACCTGGAGTAGAGCCATGTGCCTGTTATTTGCATTCCAAGATCTGTTATAAGACCTATATATTCCCAGAAAGCATGTGATCTCAAGCTGAAACAGGCTCCAAGTTTTCTTTTAACAAGTGGAATAAACATAATTCATTTCAACTCCATCCATGTTTAATGTTAAAGAAAATAGAGCAGTTTTCCCTCCTGTAAACTACACAGTTAAGATTGAATTTGAAATTCTAGCAATGCCTGAAAAATCATTTTAAATCTGAAGATTGTTTATTGCAGCTTCAAAAGATATATACTGTTACTTGCTAAGAAGTCACTGTCTGGAACAGATTTTTCTAAAGTATCTTATATCACTAATTAATAATTCCTACCCACTAAGACACACCTAACCTGAGGGTGATCCTTCAGCTACAGAGCAACACAGCAGCTCCGGAAGAAATGAGCTTTAGGACTCCCAGAAGATTTCTCTAATAAGAAAGAGAAGGAACACCTTCTGCTTTTGGACAAGAAAGCAAAAAAGGACCATGTGTACAAAATGAAATCACTGTCAGTGGTTAGGGCACTCAGGTTAAGAGCATGGTATCCAATTTTATACTGAAAAAAAAATTAGGTCCACCATCAGTGTCTAATAGTGATTTATGAATTTATTAAAGAGTTGTCAGGCATTCATGTTATATTCAGACCAGGAGATGAACAACAGGTCTTTTGTACCCTCACCATTAACACATAGTACACAGAAATAATTTAAACTGCCTGGGAGAGTATGTAAAAAACATGATAACTGTCACACCTGTTAAAATCACAACAGCTGCCTGGCCATTCAGGAGCTGCATCCCTCATGAAAGAACCATGTATCTTTGAAGAGCTTGTGTGTACATGTGTGGCTGCACAGAGTGAGGAACATGAAAAGTAGCAAGACCTATGTTCATGTTCTGGGACTTATAAAAGGAGTTCAGGCTTAAGAAAATCAATCTTGGATGTGTACTAGAATTGAGTTTAAAAATTTGTTTGGAACTGTGCTATCCCTACAGAATCCAACTATTTGGATAGTTGGATATATGCAAGGTGTATAAATGCAGTTCATGTTGTTTAATTGCTCCTCAGTTTCTGAGGGTTCCAGTCTTCCTCCCCATTCAGCAAAACATTGCTAAAGTAATACTTTCTCAAGCATGAAGTATGTCGCCTAGGTTAAACAGCAATACTGATAGTGGAAAATGCAGCTAACCTCTTGCTGGACTACGGAATTGATACAGACTTTAAGCCACAGCTATTTCCCAGATGATATGCAATGCTGGTTTGTTTAAGAAATTTAAATCATCTGGTTCTTATCATATTCCCGCTGTTTAGGGGCATGATGAACTGTCAGTGACAATATGCAAGGCTCCTCTGAGGCCGTTGCCTAAACTTGTCTTCTGCTACTGTGAAAATGATACTAGAGACAGAAAAACAGTATTTTTCCCTATTATGTCGCCCTTCTGCTCTCCCTTTTCAGACACATCCAAGTGTATCCCTATATGAATTCTTGCCAATCCATACATTCTCCTTCTTTGAGTAATCCCTGATCATCCTTTGATGTTAGTTTGTCACTGAGATCAAATATATACTTCACACAGTACTGAAATGTTGTCTGTAATAAACCATAAGAAACTGCTCTCAACACTTCTGTAGTAGGTGTGTAACACCAGGAGACAAGGCCAGAGACCTCATCTCTTTTTAAGAAACATTTATTTCAAACTTCAACCAGTGTAAATACATGGTTTATAAGATTTCATTTGCACAGTGTTGTGTATCTTTGTTGCATTTCATCCAAGGTAACAGCTGGGTTACAGCTCATATGGGAAATTGCCTGGAAATCTCTGGCTTTTGAAGGAAGGCAAGGCAGAACAAAATCACAGCCAGTTGAATTAGTATTGGTAATTACTGTCAAACAAAATGTTAACATGGAAGACATTCCTGACTAGCTGTTGAAACTTTTCAGAGTGAGTATCTTGGAAACATCATAAGTAAAATATTCTGACACGTCCAGCTTGCAATGTACAAGGAACATGTTTAATGCATCGAGGCAGAGAGTTGTACATTGTTGTAACCAGTACTGTATGACCAAGCACATCCACTTTTCCAAGATAACTGTACCATACTGAAGAAAGGGCTTGTTAAAATAAGCCTTATCCTTGTGAGGAGCATAATTCCCTGGAAGCATTGGGATTCCCATGACAATAGTGGTCCTCCACTCCAAACAGATATCTGCCTATTTCATGCACCTCTTGAACACAGAGGTCCCTAACCAGCCTTAGCCATATAACCAAGGACTTAACAGGAATGAACACCAACCTATTTTCTTTTACCACGGGGGCTGCTTTGAAGTCAGGATGGATGAACACTGTTTAGCTGCTGTGGTAGATAACTTGCCTTCCCATTATAGTCACTGTAAAGACAAAACAGGATTTCAGCCTCCAGACCTGCCACCCTCCAGAAGGACTGCTCAAGCTGGAAAAACCTGCCTACCTGGAGTTCTTAACAAAGGAATGGGAGTTCTGCTCTCACAGAAGTTAAAAGAAGATGAAGAAAGAAAATGCCACTGGGCCCAAGTTGATGAAGTTATTTATTGCATGAGACACTCAGCAACAAGTGCAATTACTGATTAACTGCATGCTGTTCCGTGTGGCCAATTCAAAAAGATGCTTACAGAACTGTTCAAACTACAGCCAGAACACTGATTTCTCTGGCAAACAACCTGGAAAGAAAAGTAGCTGCAATGAGCGCTAGATGTTTTGAAGTAGAAGTAGCTATACCTTGTACACTGGCTTCCCTGCTCCCTGTGGGGAAGCAGCTCCCTTCTACAGGGTGTGGGGGCTGTGAGCTGAGCAGTGGCAGCCCACTGGCCACCTTCCACAGTCTTGGAAATGAACTGAGGAATTTTTGCCTTGTTTGCGCTTGCAAGACCAAGCAAAAGGCCTGTGAGGGAATAAAGAGAGTATTTCCTATGGAAAACCCCTGGCACAGGAACCCTTGATCTGAGTGACTCCACGCCCCAAGGAAGGCGCTGGCACAGGAGTACACACATGTGAGGGTATATACTGTACTTAGGGTAATTACTGTATGCTTAGACTTTGCTCATGCAGATAAATGGGCCAGGATTATTTTTTTCTTTTTTTCTTTTTCAGCTTCTTAAAAAGAAATAAACAAAAGTCAAAATCTCCATCTGGGTAGTTTTTAATTTACCCTTTCTTCAGGATCTACCACTCAGACAAAAGGGGAAGACACCTTGATTAAAAAGGGGAGAAGAAGAAATCTCACTGAGATATTCTCTTGCAGTTTTTCAGTTCTTATTCAGCTCCTATGAACACAGACACCTGACATGCATGCAGCTGGCTTGGCTCCCAGGGACATAAGTAAAAATTTGATGTGCTAGTCCTTGTCAGCACTGAGTTTCTTTTTTGTCTTCTTTTAACAAGCACAGTCATGCAAGGCAGGCTCATTACTAACGGAATAGAAAAAGGAAAATTACAGCATGTTTTCATTTTGCACAGGAAAGCAAAGGTTCATCGAGGGGAAAATAATCACTCCTCCCTTCCTATTCATGTATGACCTATTCATGTATGACCTGATATGGTCATTGCACAAGTAATAAGGGCAAAGTGTCCCACTGAACTCTGTTTCTTGAAAACAGAAATATCTGTAGTCTCAGTGTAGTGGACACTTGTACCGTTTGACAGTCATTAGCTCTGCACATCAAGTGCTCTCTGAACGATAAAAACATTGCCAGTGCTTTCCCCATAGTCCCATGGGATTCTTCCTGCTCTGAAGCAAGTCATACAGTTGTATATACACAGTATCTTAAAATTTATAATAAGGAGTACATAACTTCTAGTCTGCAACAAAACTGGGAAGCAGTGATGTACAGCCATCTCAGGGCTTTAGGAGCTGAACAGCCATTCATAAACCTGGACTGGGAGCTGTATCCCAGGAGAAATATTCCAAACGTGAGCTCATTTCTTCTTCTAAAAGGGCAGCAGCCAGCTGGGGGTATGGGTTGCTGGCAGAGGATGGAGCTGACACAATATCACTTCAATGTGGTGCATACTGCACTCCCTGTAACGTTTTATAACAATGCCTTATAAAACTCAGATCAGTCCTATCTCTCACTCCACTTACCCA